AACAAAATATCTGGACCTGGCTCACGAGGTGACCGACATGTGGGATGGTCTGTAGACCGAAATTATTCCTGTGGTCGTATCTGCGAACGGGCTAATTCCGTAAAAAAACTTTATTTATTTATATAGTTGTATATTTATCATTTACTCTTATATATCTATTCAGCCCAACCAGATGAGAATAATTTATAAATACTCCAATAAATTTATTCAGAAGAAATAAGGTACAAAGATGTTCGTATAAAATAATAAAGTTTCACATATTTCACCAATTTAACTTTTCTTCAATAGAGGAGGTTCATGTCCAGCCGAGGATTGTTATCGGCTGATAAACATGAAGAATTTTTTTTTTCATTTCTCAAAATATTTGGTTGTTATATTTGACAGTTGGTAAAAATCGCCGTGCATTGGTGGCGTAAGACAATCCACTCGTATTATCGTACCTCTACTCACTACTACTCTTAAGAGGCAACAGAGAAAAATTAAACACGAGGTGGGCAGCAACATCTTCCTGATAACATCTAAAACAAATTACTGCGGTTACCAAGCCGCCTGCCAAGCGTGACAACTATGGCAAATGTCTTCCCTATGAGGCAGTTAGGAAGGCCTATATTTAGAAGTGGACTTTTGATACGATTGTAATGAATGAATGTTGGTAAATATGTTTGTTTTTAAAACGGAACTCAACTGGTACGTCGTTTTTATTTGGTTAATCGACAGTACAGTCGACGGTATCGCCCGATCAACACGTTTGTTCAATTAAAATCAAATCTTGATGACCGTTTACAAATTTAGATAATTTTTATTCGTCATAAAGACAGTTGCTTCTTTAGGTCAGTATATTTTTTCCTATTATTTAAAAATTTAAACCAGTAATTTCACTACATTTTCAGCTTATTCTTGTATACTGTATAGTGATCGTGTAAGAGATTTGTTGCACTGATATTTTTATTATTGCCGTCATTAGTCATTCGCTCAGCTTTACACGTTTTTTTTTTAAATTGTAGGTCGTTTATGTGTTTAAGATATTTTCTTACAAGAACTCTCGGAATCTTAAAGTAATGAGTATATTAAAGAATTTATGTAATGAAAGCCATAAGCTTATTAAAACTTTTATTCGTTTTTCTAAATACTTTTAATTTTTTCTAAATACTTTTAATTTGAAAACGATTTTTAATTTTTTTTTCTTATTATCAGATCAATTTATTACATAATACTTAATTTTATCTACAATATTAAAAACTATGATAATAAAAAAAAAACTAAAACTAGAAACTTAATTATCCTATAGTCCTACTCCCCGCGGTATCGTGCCAAGAACGCTGGCTGCGTTTCCCCGCTGAATGGCTATACTTAGCCTTTGAGCGAGGAAAGAACCAGCCCTCTTATCACCAGCAGCAACGACCAGCCGCGGATGGAGTTCCTTTAGGAACTTCACCGCACGTGGACCCCACGGACCGATAGTCTCTACAGCAAATGGCACAAATATGTAGTCATCTCTCAAACTCGTATTTGCGCCACTTACTCAGTTCAGCTGCCTCTGATGCCGCCCCGGCTTTAAATGAGGTACTCCTGAGATGAGAGGCCGCCAGAGTGTCTACGCAAGTAGCATCCCACACTAGGGCTTTGCCTCTCTCCCAAGGGACCAATGTCATACCGTCGGGTCTCACACGACATAATTTTTAATTAAAAAAATTATGTCGTGTGTTTTTTTAATATTTTTTGAAGACACGTAATAAGTGTAATTAAATGAATAAAATAATTATTAAAATTTTATAAACAAAAGCGTTGGTCTACTATTTTATGTAAAAACCTTTCGGCGAAAAAATTAAAACAACGGTAGAATATTACTCCGCGTTATTAACGTAAAGAACTATTGTTTAAAACAAAAGACGCAGCGGCCGTGATATTAATTTCAGTTGCATGTTTATTTTAAAGTTCGCTGTAACCAAAGTCAACCTTAATTTTTATGTTTCGCTAAGTAATTTAAATATAAATATACGTGTAATATAAGAGCACGTTACAGCAAAAAAGGGTTCTAGCAATAAATTTTTTGTAATACTTGATAACAAGCATAATCACAGTTCAAACATTAATACGAAGTTTTGTAAAATATGAAAGTGACTTCTTTCAGTTATGTAAAGGAAACAATGTGTTTAACGTTTACAAATTGTACAGATATGGAATCAGATAAAGCTGAATCATACATTTATAATGGACAAGAAAATTAAATAGATTTTGAAGGAAAAATTGGCCTTCTGCAAATAAAAATAAAAAAAAATCTGCAAATTAAAATCAAAGTCAAAAATTAAAACTAATCAAAATTAAGTTTAAATATTATACAATACGTAATTATGCCTCTTACTTGAACCAGATATTAAGTCAACCGTATATACCTAATATAATACTTTTTAAGCCACTTAACATATTTTCGCTAAATGTGAATCTCATCTATTTTCTAAGGAAATTCATCGAGCTTAATACAGTAACTTTCTCTGTCCGTCCACAACAAAATGCTGCGAGTTATTCCGGAAATTAATTTCTAAACGAGGCGATTAAATAGTTGTCCTCTTTGTTACGTCGCATCGGCCCGGTGTCATGTCGAAAAAATTTGCCCCACTGCAGGAATTTAATCAAAGTTCCAATGTGTTATAAACTACGAACGTTACTATTATCTTGAAGTTGGATTTTTTCCTATATTATATTTTACCTTTTAATTAAAAGTGAACCTATCCATTTGTAATTAACAAAGTTGACTAACTCACAAAATACAAGAAATTTTGTTCGGAAAAATTTCGTGATGGTTATACATATTATTGTGGCAACTTCTTTCAGCTCAATATTATTTTTAAGATTTTATTTTTTTGTAAGTGATTGTTATTTTTATGGTACTACGAATATGTTCAACCGTTGTTTTTAGTATTTGTGTAGACAAGTAACACTTTTGGTTACACAAGTTACTGTATAATGGTATGCGCTTTTATGAAGGGAATAATTTATTTATTCTATAACTTGGAAACAAGTAGTTTTATTATTTCAGTGAATAGCATATTCTGTTCGCAATATTAAAAAAAAGTTGACCGCCAATACTCAGCAGTGTTGTATCGTATACCTTATACGGAACAGCAAACCACACGATGCATATCATGAAATGTAGTTTATACCTGAATTCGCGTTCTGCGATAATTTTCATTGATCAAAAAAACCACAGCTGTCTGCTGCGGTTTTGTCAAGATATGATCAAGAGCAAATAACCAAAACTTGTATCGACGATGCTACAGTTTAAAACATTGTTGCAGACGTCTCCAGGTAGTGATAATTGCCGATCAGGTTTCCTTAACAAGTTCGATCCATTATTACAACTATAAATGTTTAGAGTATGTTCTTTATTTTTGGCAACAGGCAACAAATATTCTTCTTTATTTGTTGCCTGTTGTGAAGTTAGCCTGAGTTTACATATTTGGTAAGTATGAAATTTAGTAGCGAATGGTTCTTTGTTTTTATCTCTAATTACACCGACAAAACATCAGACCAGATCAGCTAGGCATGTAATTTGATGCGGGCTTTATGAGAATAATAATACAATTATAATTTTGCATCAAATTCGGTGTTCAGTTAGACTTGTTGAAGTGACTACGCTTGGAAATAGTCCAAATCAATAATGAGAAGAAACACGAAACTAATATGAGTGCGGTCTTAGAACTGAATTCGCTTGGTGTGCTGGTTGAAGGTACTCTGAATACATATCGAATAAATATTCAATGGCAATACAATTTTTTTAAAACAATTCCTGCCTGCAACTCTGTAATGGTTACAAGTAAAAACACTAATAAATTGGGGTTACTGGTTATCCTTCATTTGGTATAAGTGTCCGAGTGGGGTAAACTGATTCGGACTTATCCAATTACGACCCTCTTTTTGAAGGAGAAGCTCCTTAAAGGGGCTTATTCTCAACTACTACTCGTTTGTCGAATGTATTAATTGTACTTTTTTACGTTATAAATTGTATGGTATAGCTAATTGATAATTGTTAATAACTTGGTTATAGTTCATATGTCAATAATATATTCCTATTTTACGAACATAACTAAATAAATTGTTGGTGTTATTTTTTGTATTAATGAAGCGTATTCGGTTTCGCATTTGCCTCTCCAACTTAACATTTTATCTGTCTCGTTATAATGTAAGCTTCGACTAGGCAGCCGTTGCTCTATTGAATGTAAACTCATCTCGATCAATTCAGGCTTTGTGAAGGATTGGAACGGATTACGTACATGTTCTGTAGCTTCTTGATGGAATAGTGTACCCATAAGTTTCAAGGTACATTCAGTTCCCGTATGGTTTACTCTACGGCTACTTTATTTTGATGCAAAACTTGTTACAGTCTTTACAAATATTACTGCTGTACAAATTGTTATTGCGAAAATTTATTAAATGGATTTACATTACCTTAATACATCATAAACATTTCTCACATTTTTTTCTTATATAAGAAAATATCAATGAAGTTCGGTAAATTGTGATAAAAATTATAACTAATAATGTAGACGATTATATTTAATAAAACCTTATGAAGGTAAACAGAAATCGATATATGAAATTTTCAAAATCAAGTATGACAAAATAAAATCTAATTCCATATAATATGACCGATCACCATATTTCGTTCGAGTTGTGAGAATAACCCCCAATATATCATTAAGGTGTCGAGATTTCAAACGGCCCATTGGCTCCGTAACAGTGTAGATAGAGGAAATTCGGTTATTGGTATTAATGAAAGCGGAAACATCTCGATTTGTTATGTCCATTATCGTAGTTGATATTGTTCGGGGTAAAAACTCGGCAGCGGAATGAATCGGTTGATACGTCACGTCGGTGAGATTGCGACTTCTTCCATAGTTTTTGTTGACTAAGTTTGGTTATATAATACAGATAAACTTTTTTATCGCGTTTACTTCAGAACTGTTTGATTTTATTTAATATTTCTATGTTTTTTGTTCCAGGAAAAATCGGGTGAACCTTATTCTGGAAAATTATCTGTGAAATCAGATTTAAGTCCTGTTTTTGGTAAGTTTATAGCTTTTACAAGCTTTTATTTCCACGTAGTTTATAGCGTTCGTTATAATCTTAAACTTAAATATAACTTATTATATGGGCTTAATGTAATGGGCTTTACCATTAGAACTATTCTATCCGTTTGAACTAATCCACTAACCACATCTTACTTTTGACTTAATTAAATAAAAATATATTTTTTAATACACTACGCGTATCGCGTGGTACACGTATAACTTAGTTCATGAAATATCAAGCTTCAATGGAGGCCTGTGCGTCCCACATCAACTTTTTAATTAATACAACTAAAAATCTGTAAAAAATCATTAAATAGTTACGATTAATATTATAACGAATAACAAAACATTAAAATTTTAGAAAATATAGTTAGAAATTCAAATATAGAAAATAATAGTGTGCTACTATAAAAGTCCACTGCTGAACATAGACCTTGCCGTAGGATTGCCTCATTGGGGTATTTTGCCATATGTACCACGCTTGGCGGGCGTATTGGCAACCGCAGTTTTTTACTATTTTGAATTGTTATCAGGAAGATGCTGTTGACCATTACCTGTTTCAATTTCCCTCTGTCGCCTCTTACGACACCCACCATCACTTGTACAGGTCATACACCCAAAAATGCCACGTGCATGACAAAATTGAAACTGGCAATTAGTATTTTTGTATACTGTAATGAAACAATTCTACTACCTGTTGGGGTTAAACACTTCTTCACATGAAAAATGTTTTAATTGTTCCCTCATTATTTTTTTGTAAATAACTGAGCATAATCTCAAGTTTTGCATGCAAATAGCACTCAAGCAGTGCTTAGACGATATATTTGTGGTCAAATCATGTTTAGACTTCGTGTTGAGATAATCTCTTTAATTTTGTTACAATGTCGCTTATCTCGTTTGAAACACGAAGAGATATAAGTTCATACTCAATTAAACAAATATCAATGTAATAAATACAAATAGTTGCATGGCAAGTTGCATTTCGAGTATAGTAGTAGAGTCTATAAAATTGTATAATTTTTGGATCAGTGTCGATGATGGCAATATTTACTAATAAATAAAAAGTTAAAACATTCAAAGGCTCTGTTTGAATAAAATATTTTAAACTTCATTGACTTATTCTATACATTTTCATTATAAGCATTTCATAGCCCCCTGTGCGACAGAAAATTCCCAAAGGAGGACCTAACAATTTTTTTAAGTTTGACGAAATATTATTTTTTCTTCATTTGTTAAATATACATTATTTTTACCGGCGTTTCGTGTAGTAACTTTCTTGACTAAAAAGATGGATTCCTTCACGACGGCACCACACGCTAAGTATTGCATTAGTTGAGAACTACGTTATCTACTCTCACTTGGAGACGGGGGTTCTTCAAACCAATGAAAAGTGTAACAGTAAACATCATAACAGTTATAAATGATCATCGATCTTTAATTACAGTAAATGTAGCATGCATCTAATTAGAAAACTGTTATATTGTTATCAAGTAAATTAGCAATCGCTAAGCTGGATATTGCTTGTATTCATAGCACTAGCCTGTGCAATAAAATGACTACGATGAAATAAAGAATATATTTGAACACTGTAAATAAAAAGGACTCATCCAAAAGAGTAATCAACGACTTTCTCGCACCATTGAACTACAATCTGTATCGTGTACATAAATCGTTCAGTGTATTGATGTAAAATTGATTTCCGTGGAACTACGACAAGGTGGGAATTATCACCGGGACTTAATGCCAGGGCTCGCCTCATGCAGCCATTATGTGAGAATTATGTGTGTTTTATCGCCAGCTTATAATCATCTGTCACTATCGTTACAATATTTTCGTATAATTTCATCTGACTCCACCTCTCATAGTGACGTGATAGTATAGAATTAGGTAGGTATCGATGAAGTGTTGATATCTTCCGAAAGTAAATTATTAAAAAAAACTTCTGAGTTTTTAATTATATTATTATTAACATTACATAAAATTCTATATTCATTTAAAAATGTTATGCACTATATTGTATATTACTATGCCTATAGTATATAAGGTCGTCACACAGTTTAGTGGGCACCTTAGCAATAGGTTGCGCTATGTCGGTGCGCTACTCTGGTTCTACTATACTACTCTGGTCCTACTGTACTATCCTTAATTTGTAATGTGACATGCAATATACAATTTGCGTTTGAATTCTGCGGTTATCTTTGTTTCGGAAGTTATCACACAGAGAAATCCCGACCATAGCCCTCTCTTTATTTCGTTAAATTATTTTTAGTTTTCAATCAGCAGTGAGAAACCACGTCTCCGTTTCATATGTCGTCATGAATAACAAACGCTCATTGTACACTTTAGTTTTCTGGGACTTGGGAATACTGAAGTAGAAGATTTGTCATTATGTAAATTCAACCAATTTCAACTTATAATATATATATTACAATCGTAAAATTATATATATATACCGACATTTATTCCAAACAAATATTAATTGATCGACATTTTATTTCTCACGTATTAATCGATGGCTGCACATCCCTTTGGAGCCACGGCCGAACGCCTCGTTATTTGTTGTTATTAGTGTCGTTTTTTTCTTATTTCTTTTCCTCGGGATGTTTTTGAGAACCGGTTACAGAGTCTAATCTGATCAGTTCACCACGACCCGCGCTCTGTACCGGACCAGGAAAAAAATAATAATGCAACTGACATACAGTCAGCAACTATAGTCGATACACGATTCTTACCTTTCATTTCTTTGTATGAAGACGATGAATTGCATATCATTTTGAATGTAATTTTGAGAGCAAAGAACAATATTAGGATATACCGAAGAGAGTCTTATACTCCAGCAAAACCACTTCTGATTGTATTTTGTATGCTTATTCTCACTTGTATTGTATTAGGACATATGTCTAGAGAATAATAATAGAATGTCTATTGTTACTGTTATATTCTTTGTATATAATAACATTGGTGTAATGTGATCCTTAATTTAATGTAATAATTTATTTTTCCTTCGTGTAAGCATTCAACAAAAATCCATATAAAAACTCCAACACCCAATAGTTCTATTTTATTTATGTGTTAGATATGATTTGCTGTGATATCTATGATTACTTTTATATGTTTTATAATATTGCCTGAACGGTTGTGAGGAAAACATGAACTACATGACTTATAAAATTTGTTATAACATTCGTCACGACGTATTGTTCTTTGGTGTAAAATTCTTGACAGAGCGATCGTGGTCATCACGAAGACACATCTTTGAGGACAAATGTAAGTCGCCTCACGAGGATTCGCCATTTAATCCTGCTGACCACGACCTAAAATTCTCAGACCGCCTATGAAAAATAGTATTAAAGGTGCGAACCGTTTTTACTGAGAGCACCAATACGCCTGCTAAGCGTGTTCATGGAAAATAATCCCAACTGTAGGACAGAAATATCAGACGATTGTAAATGACGGTAATAAATCGCAATGAATTATAAAATACCATGAATAATAAAAAAAAACCTTACAAATATGCAGTCAATAATTTTAATTTCAAATTATTAATTCATAGCTATGATGTGGTTAAATACCTTGCTAATTGCGATCCGCAACCGAAATTATTTTCATTAATTATAGTGCATTACACGCTTAAAACGATTAATATTGCACGGGAAAGTTTATTTTATGCTAGCTAAATTTACATTATCAGTATTTTACGTTTTAGCGTTTGATTTCCCGTTTTCTATTTGACCACAGTGACAAATGCATAGTTTGATATTTAATTTATTCATTGTATTCAATGTTTTGCCGTTTGTTTGAGATATATGGCACCACAGTATTAGAACGCGGCTTCCAAAGTGTATTAAAAATTCCACATATTTTCTCGGGCCCTACAAATGCGTTAAAATGTCTTGGACATTGGGTTACAAATTAATTATATATATAAACTCTGTATAATGGTTACTAAGTAGTTTTTTTATTAAGTCTTCGTTTCGTATTTTTATTCACAAATACATTTTCGAAAAGTTTATTTTAGTTTAGATTTAGTTGTTTTTAAATTAGTTAATTACTTCTTATATTTTAAGATGTTATTTACCTGTGTGCATTGTAGTAAAATGTATATTTTATAATAACAGCCAAATGCAATTTTATCATTGACACAAAGTAAATAATACTTACACGAAAACAGAAAAACCACCTCCAATAAATAGGTTACCATAAAGTTTTTTTTTAAATCTAACTGCTTCTCGTTTTTTACGCTCAATATATTTAGAAACATTATCTATTTGCGCGCATATTAAAAATAAATATGAACCTCTCGTCCATCAATCAATCGGGCCGCTAAATGGATTTCATCGGATGATAAATTAGTAGGGTTGCCATTTACATATGTAGTCTTAGACATAAGTTACTAAAAATACCGAATACATATTTTTTTATATTTTAACGAAATAAATAATTGCGTACGAATTAAATGTTAGCCCCAAACAATTATTATCTGAGACTACAGTGATCAAAGTACCTATGTATTTTAACAATATTTATTCGTTTTCGGTCGTGTTTTTTTTTTATTTTGGACATTTGGAGTTTTTAAATAAAATAAAATTGACAACAATTTTTCCTAGTTTACTGTAACTACTACCTAGAATATTTACCTCTTATACTACACTTGGTGACAAGTGGTAAAGGCCTGTTCACTGTTGCCTTGAAAACACCACGCAAAGACGGGCCTCTGTTCAAAATAAATTGTACCCGCGAATTGCTTTTCAAGCGATTTTAGTATAATTAAGAAAACAAAAATTAACTTTTGAGTTTTATTAAAATCCGTTATTTAGATCTTATATAATATTGTATAAGCGAATATCTTTAAAGTTCTTAAAATGTGGAATAAAAAGCAAAACCAAAATATATAATTTTATTTGTTATGTCCGTTGTTGACAATATAAGTAAAGAAGGTCCATCTAACAAAAATGACAAATAACACACCTTTTATTCTACTATCGTGGAGACGGT